GAATTCATTATCAGTTAAGCATTAACTCTACATTAATGTCATGTGAGTACTATTCATTAACACTTATTAATGTAGAGTTTGTGCTTAACAGATAATAAATTCACTATTTGCTAATGCTTAATAAATTATTTATAGTGTGTAGTTATTATAAAGTGTTACTGTGCACTTTAATTACCTGGATGATGCACTTATTCAGCCGGTATGAAGTGTGTATTGATGGACACTTCACGCACTCAACGACTGCAGGTTTACTCACGTAGCGAAAGAGGCGGAGCTATCGGGCGCACATGTTAGATTACTCTATTTTGGATGGTGAAAGCAAAATTCTCTCACGAGAATGATGATAGCGCCTCCCGATGGTGAATGCGGTTACACTCACAGCAGGTATTATTTGGTAGTTTGGTCATTTATTTGATTAATTTGGCAACCGTCAAACGTCATCAGGGTAATGGTTCAAATTTCCACTTAGTAAAAGAAAACATTAGTGCTCCATTTGGGACGACACTACATACATATACGATGCTGTTGAGTGTGTAAGTGCATAAGTGTATAGTGTGCTATTTGGGACACCGTTAGCCATCTGCTTTGGTTTGAATGAATGGTTTGGGGGGATGAATCGCTCATCAACTCTCTGAAGTCCTCCACCAAAGCTGTGATGTGGTCCTGATGATGTGGTGTGTGTTTGTGTTTTTCTGCAGTGACGTCTCTGCTCAAGGGTCAGCAGGGCATTTACACGGAGAACGAGAGGAGACTCGGCTCTGAGATCAAAATACGCTTCTTTAAGATCATGCTGGTGTTCTTCATTTGGTAAGAGGAGATTCAGATCCATCTATTTTAACATGTCCAACATAGATGTGAAGCTTGCTTTAAAAATTGGTACACGATTTTTACTAATGGATGCCAACAATGTGCTGAACCATGCTACCAATATGCTAAAACATGCTAGAAATAATGCTACACAATGCTAAAAACATGGTATATCATGCCAGTGGGCTAAATCAGAAGAAATATAGCATGAACAATGTGGTAAACCATGCTAGAAATGTTTTAGATCAAGTTATCAACATGCTAAAGCATGTTAATGTGCTAAAACATGCTAGGCTAAATCTTGTTGGAAACATTTTTAAATGCCAGCAATGGGTTAAATCTTTAATCTGGGTTAAAAGAAACATGTTAACAGTGCAAAATCATGTCAACAACATGCTAGAAGTGTTACAAATGAAGTTATGTGTTAAAACATGTCAATGTGCTAAAACATGCTAGAAACAACGTTAAATCATGTTATAAACATTTAAGTGTCAGCAATGGGCTAAATCATGCTAGAAATATGCTAACCATACAAAACCATGCAAACAACATGCTAGAAATGTGTTAAATCAAGTAAACAACATGCTACTAAAAATGTTTAATCATGTTATAAACATTTTAAAAAGTCAGCAATGGACTAAATCATGCTGGAAACATGCAAAATTAATTAAACAACATGCTAGAAATGTGTTAAATCAATGTTAACAATGTGGTAAAATATGCTAGCAACAATGTTAAGTCATGCTAGAAACATGCTAACCATGCAAAACCATGCAAACAACATGCTAGAACTGTGTTAAATCAAGTAAACAACATGCTACTAATAATGTTTAATCATGTTATAAACATTTTAAAATGTCAGCAATGGACTAAATCATGCAAAATTAATTAAACAACATGCTAGAAATGTTAAATCAATGTTAACAATGTGCTAAAATATGCTAACAACAATGTTAAGTCATGCTAGAAACATGCTAACCATGCAAAGTCATACAGACAACATGCTAGAACTGTGTTAAATCATTTTGGAAACATGCTAAAACATCAGCAATAGAGTAAACCATGCTAGAAACATGCAAAATCATGCCTACAACATGCTAAAATGTGTTAAATCAAGTAAACAACATGCTAAATGTTTACAATGTGTAAAACATGCTACCAACAATGTTAAGTCATGCTATAGAAACATGCTAACCATGCAAAGTCATACAGACAACATGCTAGAACTGTGTTAAGTCATTTTGGAAACATGCTAAAACAGGCCACGCTAACAATGTCTGTAAATGTGTTCTGTCATTAGCTGGCTGCCCAACATCATCAACGAGAGTCTGCTGTTTTATCTGGAGATGCAGGACGATGTTAAATCCAGCGATCTGAAGAACATTCGCAACGCCGCGCTAATCACATGGTTCATCATGGTGAGAAATGTTTTTACAGTGTCTACTGTATTTTTACCTGTAAAGTTCTGGCGACCACAGCTGCTGATTTTTCACCATAAATGTAACAAATTTATTTTACAGTGATGAAATACAGTAGTTTACCATGAAATAGGGATGTAACGGTATCAGAATTTCACGGTACGGTAATACCTCGGTATGAATGTCACGGTACGGTATTTATTGAATCATTTACAGGAAAAAACAAAACTTATGAAAATACTCCAAAAAAGTGCCAAAAGTGTCAATGACATACAAATTAGCCATCAATCTGTAAGCTTTGAAACAGGAACTTCAATTTTAATAACAAAAAAATATTAAACCATGTGAAAAAATAAAGTTTCAATTTAGTATTGTTGAAAACTCATCACATTCAACATTTAATCACTCACTCACTTAGATAGAGATGGGTTTAAAGGAAAATTATCATATAAATATAATCTGGTAAAAGCTGGTATCTCTGGGTATTTACAATGTCCCCTGCAACAGAAAAAACCCTCTCATTTGGGACTGAGGTTTCTGGGACAGAGAGATATGACTTGGCCCAGGTTGACAGCAGTGGGTAACGTTGTGCATTGTCTTTCCCCCACTTGAGAGGACAAACCATGAGTGAGATAGAGATCTCATGTCTGCATCAATCTGAACAGTGTGCTGTGTTTCTGCAGTCCCCATGACTGTTATTAGTCGTATTCCCCAACTTGCAGGCACGTGCACACACAGTGCTCAACCTGTGCAGTGAACATGCCCTTTTTAGTCTTGGATAGAAAGTTCCCTTCCAAAATGATCAAAAGTGCCCCCGCGACGCGACACACCCTCCGTCCCGCTTTACAGTACGCGCGAGACAACACAGCTGATAAGAACTCGCGTGACAACACCGCTATTCAGTACGCGCGCGACAACACAGCTGATAAGAACTCGCGCGACAACACCACTATTCAGTACGCGCGCGGCGACAACACCCAGCTCTTTTTCATCCCCGCTTCTAGCAGCACACTCCATTTCCGCATTACTGGATCTGTAGCGACAACAGACCGCAAGGGATTATGGCCAAGCCTGGGCTGATGGGAATTGTAGTTTTCGCTACCTCCCGTTCGCTTCATTCGCCTGAGCAAATTTTCTCAGAAGACCTATAGTTTTACCGAGTCATGCGACTACGGTAATATCGAAAAAAATTAATATTGCGGTATGACGGTATTTACAATACCGTTACATCCCTACTATGAAATGTAGAAAATTATTTAATGGTTTCTACCTAATTCTGGCAACTGCAACTGTTGTTTTTTCACCATAAAATTTGCAGGTTTTTAACAGTGTATAAATGAATTTAATATGGTAGTTTACCATAACATATGTAACATTATTTTACAATTTCTACTGTATTTTTAACTGTAAAGTTCTGGAAAACCACAGCTACTGATTTTACAGATTTATTTTACAGTGTAAATTAATAAAGTATGGTAGCTTACCATCAGATTTAGCACACCCTTTTACACATTTTACCATATTTTGAATGTTCTGTCAACCACTGCAGATTTTTTTGGAGTAATGAAATACAGTGTTGGGCAGTAGCGTTGCTACAAGTAGTGACGCTACTAGCTTCACTACATTTCTCAGTAACTTGGCGGTAACATCGCTACTTTCTAAATCAAATAGCTTTTCAGTAGCGAAGCTATTTTAATAGTCAAGTAGCGCAGTAGTGTCAACATAAGCTATATTTACAGATCGCGGATCAAAAAGTGACGGCACCGACATTCACGGAGCTGTGAGGCCGGTGTGTAGGGCTGTTTCTCAATATGCGTTCTTCAGCGGTCTTGCGTCCTCGTGTTCTCATGTAACGTCATCATCAGCTGCCTAAGTTCAGTTCCAATACTCAAGACCGCAAGTACGGAGGACGCGTGAAACTTCCCGGATGTGATCTTGATATCGAGGATGCACCGATGCAGACTTGAGCATCGAACTCGCTCTGGAAGTCCCAGAAGTCATTGCGACTGAAGGTGGGAAGCGCTGCATTTTATTTAGATGTATTATTAAAGTTTAGAGATATCACTTATTTACCTCAGGAGTTTCTCTGAATGAAACGGTGAAAGTAAACATTACCGTGGACATCCTAATAAAGGAATAAACACATTAAGGGTGTTTGTTTGCTGAAATTTGTATTAAAATCTGTTTTATTTATATTGTGCAGAATATATTTATAATGTTTTATGCAAAGTATATATTTTGAAAAGGGGAAAAACAGTAAATCGTCGTATGAGTGCTGTAATGTTTAAATAATTTACCATTTAAAACACGTGAAGGTCATGTGACCATCAGAAAGAACGCAGCATCTCAATTCTCAAAGGACGCGTTCTCTGCCCTCGCGGTCTCCTGAGTTTGTTCTTCCGAGAACACCTGGCAAGACCGCTCTCCACAAGAACACAAGTCCAGTCTCTGCGTTCTTGGAATTGAGAAACAGCCTAGGTGATGAAAGTAAATCCATATGATGACTAGAATGAGGAATTCTTCTTCCTGTTTTACGGTGTTCGACAACAAACCTTTTGGTGCGTTACTGCCACCTCTGGTTGGCCATGTCGCCAACCGAAACTTGCTTGATGGAAAGATGACTGAGGGAGAGGAGTTATTTCTGAAGCAGGATTCCTCGTGACCATACTGCGAGACATGTTAATATGCAATAACTTAATTTCTGATGCTGTGTTCAAAAAATACTTTAATATATATATATATATATATATATATATATATATATATATATATATATATATATATATATATATTATATGCTTATTCAAATATAATGCTCATTCCAAAATATTTTCCTTTACTATACATTACTATAGTATTTTAAATGTGTAAGACCTGCTTTTATTGGAGTTTTGTTTTAGCTGTTATACTATATTGTGTTTCTGTTTAGTACAGCATACTGTTTACAGTAAATAACTGAACTGAACTATTCTGCCTCAGATGTTTCATTGACAGTTTTATTGATCACTAAGATCAATGATTGACTTGGATTTAAGTTGCTTCGATTTCAAAATAAAAAAATGTAAAAATAGCTTGGATGTGGCTAAGCTACTTTTGCCTTGTAGCTTTTGGCTTAGCTTGCTACATTTCCCAGATGGTAGCTTTTAGTTTAATTAAGCTACATTTTAAGTAGAGTACACTGAAAAAAGTGTTGCATGTAGAACTGTTGCAAACAATTAATTTGTGTTGAATTTAAACAAACAAATTAAGTTTAATAATGTTCAACTTAATTTGTTTGTTTAAATTCAACCCAAATAGACTGTTTACAACCACTTAACGTAAAACAAATTAGTAAATCCAAGGAATCATCTTTGAATAATTTTTTTCAGTGTAGCTGATAGCTTAGCTCACTACATTTTTCAAGTAGCTTGCCCAACACTTGAAATATAGTAGTTTACTGTAAAAGTTTGGAAATTATGTTTCAGTTTTTTCTACTGTTTATTTAATAATAAAGTTCTGGCAATCACAGCTGCCATTGTTTTACTGTAAAGTTTACAGATTTTTTACAGTGTGTAAATTAATGAAATACAGTAGTTTACCGTACAATTTAGACAATTATTTAACAATTTCTACTTTATTTTTTAACGGTACTATTCTGGCAACCAGAGCTGCTGATATTTTTTACAGTAATGAAATGCAATTGTTTATCATAAAATTTAGGAAATTCTTGTACGGTTTTTATTTTTAGCAGTAAAAATCAGGCAACTACAGCTGACATTTGTTTCACCGAAAATTTAACAGTTCTTTTTTTTTTATGAAATATGGTAGTTTATTGTAAAGTTTTACGGCTTCTGCCTTATTTTACCTGTAACGTTTTGGCAACTGCAGCTGATATTTCTTCACCATAAAATTTGTTGATTTTTTTAAGTGTATAAATTAATGAAATATGGTAGTTTACCAGAACATATGTAACATTAGTTTACCTTCTACTGTATTTTTAACTGTAAAGTTCTGGCAAACCACAGCTACTGATTTTACAGATTTATTTTACAGTGTATAAAGTAAATTAAAATAAGGTAGTTTGTACCATCAAATTTAGCACATCCTTTTACAGATTTTACCATATTTTTAATGGTAATGTTCTGGCAACCACTTCAGATATTTTTTTACAGCAATGAAATACGTACTTCATTATGAAATTTTGGAAATTCTGTTACAATTTATACTGTACACTTACTCATACTTTTCTGGCAACAGCAGCTGCCATTTTTTTACTGTAAATTTTAAATAATTAATTGATTAGTTAAAAATGTGTATAAATTACAGTAGTTTAATAATACATTATAGTAGTTTATAATACAGTAGTTTACTGTAAAGTGTTTTAACATATATGGTTTCTGCAGTATTTTTAACAGTTAAGTTTTGGCAAATGACAGCTATTGATTTAACAGATTTATTTTACAGTGCATAAATTAATAAATTTACATAGTTTACCATCGAATTCAGGAATTTTTTTCACTGATTTTACAGTATTTTCAATGTTCTGGCACCACTACAGATTTTTTAGAGTAATGAACTACAGTAGTTTACTGTAAAAGTTTGGAAATTCAATGAATATATTTAATGATAAAGATCTGGCAACCACAGCTGCCATTGTTTCACTGTAAATTTTACAGATTTGTTTACAATGCATAAATTAATGAAAGACAGTAGTTTACCGCAAAATGTAATATATATATATATATATATATATATATATATATATATATATATATATATATATATATATATATATATATATATATATATATTGATTTCTACAGTATTTCTGACAGTAAAGTTTTGGCAAACCACAGCTATTGATTTTTCAATTAAAATTTTTCAATTTTCTTTTTCTTTTTTTTTTCAGCAATGAAATACAGTAGTTTACCGTAAATACTTTTACAGTTTCTGCTGCATTTTTAACATAATTCTGGCAAATCCACAGCTATGGATTTTGTTACCGTAAATTTCACGTATTTTTTGCGCAATGTACATTTGAGATCAGAATTATTAGCCCCCCTGAATTATTAGCTGTCCTCTATATATTTATTTTCAATTTCTGTTTAACGGAGAGCAGATTTCTTCAACACATTTCTAATCATAATAGTTGTAATATCTCATCTCTAATAAGTGATACACATAATATTAGACTAGATATTCTTCAAGACACTAGTGTTCAACTTAAAGTGGCATTTAAAGGCTTCACTAGGGTAATTCGGCAAGTCATTGTATAACTTAATATATTGCTTAAAGGGGCTTATAATGTTGACCTTAAAATGGCTTTAAAACAATTAAAATCTGCTTTTATTCTAGCCCAAATAAAACAAATCAGACTTTCTCCAAAAACAAATATTAGAGGAAATACTGTGAGAAATTCCTGAATCTGTTCAACATCATTTGGGAAATATTTGAAAAACAGGAATAAAATAATCACATGAGGGTGAATAACTGTGACTTCATCTGTATTTAAATTGTGTGCAGGGAATCCTGAACCCCATGCAGGGCTTTCTGAACACGCTGGCGTTTCACGGCTGGACGGGTCTGGATCTGGACTTCAGTCGGCAGAGACGTCGCGAGCTGCCCTGGGACTCGGCCTCCACATCTCTTGCTGGAGGATTCACTCCTGCGGTCGGATCATCTTTAATTTACCAGAGCCACGTGCAGGAGATCAAGAAAAACCTGAGCGCCAACGGAGGCCAGCAGCCGTCGGACGCCATCAGTGTGCTTTCTGAAGGTAACGGAGTGCAGACGGAGCCAAAAAACACACCCGTTTACATGGGCTGGTGATGCCGAGGACACACTGATGAGCTGCACAGTCAATACAGCACATACAAACACTCAGATGTGAACGTGAGCTGTGTTTATATACATGTGAATCTCAATAAAAGGATCAACATTAACAGAACATGCACTGCTGCTTTATAAACACTAACAAACACTTACACACCTGCTTGAATTTCTTCTGTTGAACACAAAAGAAGATACTTTGAAAAATGTTGGAAACTTGTAACCATTGATTTCCATAGTATGTGAGTATTTTTACTACTATAAAATCAATGGTGGGTAGCGCTGTCGCCTCACAGCAAGAGGGTCGCTGGTTCGAGTCCCAGCTGGGTCAGTTGGTGTTTCTGTGAGGAGTTTGCATGTTCTCCCCGTGTTTGAGTAGGTTTTCTCAAGGTGCTGGAGTTTCCCCCACAAGTCTATAGGTGAGTTGGATAAAATAATTGTCCGTTGTGTATGGATGTGAATGAGAGTGTATGGGTGTTTCCCAGTGTTGGGTTGCAGCTGGAAGGGCATCTGCTGCGCAAAACATATGCTGGATTAGTTGCTGATTCATTCCACTGTGGTGACCCCTGATTAAGCTAAAAAGAAAATGAATGAATGAATGAATGGAAGTCAATGGTTACAGGTTTCTAACATTTTTCAAAATATCTTCTTTTGAGTTCAAAAGAAAAAAACTAACTGTAAATGTTTGTAACCACTTAATGGAGAGTAAATAGTGAGCAAATTAAAGATTTTTGAGTGAACCGCCCCTTTAAATCTTCAGATAAATGTAGATGTACAATGCATGATAGATTAGGCTGTTATTATGCAAGGAATAATTCATGCTGTAGAATTATTAGAAGTTTCTCAGTGATGGGTTGCGGCTGGAAGGGCATCTGCTGGGTAAAAATGTGCAGGATAAGTTGGTGGTTCATTCCGCTGTAGCAACCCTGGATTAATAAAGGGACTAAGCCGACAAGAAAATGAATAAATAAATGAATTATGAGAAGACTCTATTATTAGGAAACAATATATTCTAAACTAACCAAAAAAGCTGCATTTAGTTTATCAAAATTACACTGGGTAACACGGTGGGGTGGCTCAAGGGTTAGCACTGTGGCCTCACAGCAAGAAGGTCACTGATTCAAATCCTAGCTGGGCCAGTTGGCATTTCTGTGTGGAGTTTGCATGTTCTCCAGTGTTGTGGTGGGTTTCCCCCACAGTTCAAACACATGCGCTATATGCACTGTGTAAAACATATGCTGGAAGAGTTGGTGGTTCAATCTGCTGTGGTGATCCCTGATAAATAAAGCGACTAAGTCAAAGGTGCTCACTAATGCAAATTTGTAATCAGCCAATCACATGGCAGCAGCTCACTGCATTTAGGCATGTAGACATGGTCAAGAGGATCTGCTGCAGTTCAAAGCGAACATCAGAATGGGGAAGAAAGGGGATTTAAGTGTCTTTGAATGTGGCATGGTTGTTGCTGCCAGACGGGCTGCTCTGAGTATTTCAGAAACTGCTGATCTACTGGGATTTTCACGCACAACCATCTCTAGGGTTTACAGAGAATGGTCTGACAGAGGAAATATCCAGTGAGCGGCAGTTCTGTGGGCGCAAATGCCTTGTTGATGCCGGAGGTCAGAGGAGAATGGCCAGACTGGTTCCAGCTGATATAAAGGCAACAGTAACTCAAATAAGCACTCGTTACAACCGAGCTCTGCAGAAGAGCATCTCTGAACACACAACATGTCCAACCTTGAGGCGGATGGGCTACAGCAGCAGAAGAGCACACCGGGTGCCGCTCCTGTCAGCTAAGAACAGGAAACTGAGGCTACAATTCACACAGACTCACCAAAACTGGACAATAGAAGATTGGAGAAACGTTGCTGCTCTGATGAGTCTCCATTTCTGCTGACACATTCGGATGCTCGACTCACAATTTGGCCTCAACAACATGAAAGCATGGATCATCCTGCCTTGTATCAGTGGGTCCCGTCTTGCTCTTAATGTATGTGAAGTGATGCATGTGTAGAGCAGGGAGGGATGCGGTGGAGAGGGATGCATGACGCATTTGAGGACCGGGGGGGAGATGGGCTCTTTCCGGGAGATTATTACCAGTTTGTGAGCATCCGGGAGTCTTTCACTGGACACTCCTGGAACTTCCAGGAGACTTGGGTGGTCTGACATGCAGTACATCACATTGCACATACACACTTCAACGTGTGTGACACCACTGCACTACAGACTGTAGCTATTTGGAATTGTTTTATACACGATATATCAGTTATGGTCAGAATTATTCGCCCCCCTTGAACTTTTTTCTTTTTTAATTATTTCCCAAACGATGTTTAACAGAGCAATGAAATGTTCAGAGTATGTCTGATAATATTATTTCTTCTGGAGAAAGCCTTTATTTGTTTTATTTCGGCTAGAATAAAAGCAGTTTTTAATTTTTTAAACACCATTTTAAGGTCAATATTATTAGCCCATTTATGCTATATATTTTGATAGTCTACAAAACAAACCATCATTACACAATAACTTGCCTAATTACCCTAACCTGCCTAGTTACCCTAATTACCCTAGTGAAGCCTTTAAATGTCACTTTAAGCTGAACACTAGTGTCTTGAAGAATATCTAGTCTAATATTATTCACTGTCATCATGGCAAAGAGAAAATAAATCAGTTATTAGAGATGAGTTATTCACACTATTATGATTAAAATGTGTTGAAGAAATATGCTCTCCGTTAAACAGAAATTAGGGAAGAAATAGGGGGGGGGGGGGGCAATTCTGACTTCAACTGTATATTAACAGCTCCCTTACACTGTCATAACGTTTCATGTTTTGTGCAGACTCACACATAGACAATGTGCTGCAGGGAGTTGAAACCTTGGTTGTATCTAAACCCAGCCACATTCACTCACCCTGCAACCCAAGAGTGGGTACTCACTAAAGCATACTGTTTTTGCAATACTATACATTTGAACAGATTACTCAGGCCGCATACTGTTTATCACATACACTACCTGATAAAAGTGTTGTCGTCTATCCAAGTTTTAGGAACAGTTAATAATAACTGGGCTTCTAGTTGATGGTTTGGTGTCAGAAGTGTCTCTATGAAAGGTGAAGGCCTCTAGATTTCGCTAATTTGAGCTCAATAAAATCTGATCATGTCTTGATTATTAATGATTTGATCAGGACAGTAAGCTCTGACTCTGCTCAGACTAAAGTCTCATCACTGAACAGAAATAATGTCCAGTATAGAATATAAAGTCCTGCTGCAGTGGAGACAGAATGAATATTGTGTCTGACTCCATCATGAGCTTGGAGGACTGCATCCATACATCTCTGACATGACTCACATCACTGATTAATAAAGTCATCTGGAATGAAGAAGAAAGCGTTACAGGACTCCCAGAGTTCATCAAGAGTCTTTGTGTTCATCTTCAACGCCTCCTCCTTCATCTTCATGCTCAATAATGTTCATGTCTGGTGACTGGGCTGGCCAATCCTGCAGCAGCTTGACCTTCTCTGCTTTCAGGAGCTTTGATGTGGAGGCTGAAGTATGAGCAGGAGCGCTATCCTGCTGGAGAATTGTCCCTCTCCTGTGGTTTGTAATGTAATGGGCAGCACAGATGTCTTGATGCCTCAGGCTGTTGATGTTGATCATCCACTCTGCTGATCTCTCCATACTGAATGAACCCCAAACCATGATGTGTCCTTCACCAAACTTGACTGATTTCTGTGAGAATATTGGTCCATGCTGGTTCCAGTAGGTCTTCTGCAGTATTGGTGATGATTGGGATGCAGATCAGCAGAGAAATCCACCTTCTGACACTTTTACACATCATCAACTAGAAGTCAAGTTATTATGTGTTGCTCTCATGACTGAAATCCATCACAAGACTTCTGTCAGGTGCAATTTCAGATGCAGCCACTGTGTTCCCTAACAAGTGTACAACTAATGAATATCCACAATGCACTGTGTAATTTTGCACATTGAATGAAATTCCCAGTCTGACCACAAGATGGCGTGCAGAGAGGAATCCTATTGGTGTAAGTTTAATGTTATTTAGTTGATAAATGAACATTAACTTGACATAAATACATCACATTACTGATATACAGTTCGCTTGTGAGTTCAGACTGCAGGATTTTCAATGTAGCTGCTTCACAGATGTGTTCACACTGTATGGTGGATCAGCGAAAGGGGGTTTCACACTGCATGGCTTTACAATCACCAACAACTTCGTCTCGGTCTGCAAACTAGGCTACATCTCACAAACACACGTGAGAAGTGACATAGAAACAACACAAGGTCACGTGGTATATCTTTTGTTATTAGAGAAAGAAGCCTTTAGTGGGGTAGATAGTGTACTTATTTTGCTCACCTGGCTTTTGGTTGTGGTCAACCAGACCGGGGTGCTCCTGCCAAATTTACACTAGTTTTTCCTACATTTCTTGGGTCCAAATAGACTGAAAATGAGCGCTTTTAACTTCTCCCACAGCCTGCAGATACCCACACTAGTGGATGCTGCTCTCTCATTGGCTGTAGGTGATCGTCGATGAGCACATTTCACAGGCCATGGTTTTGAATGGGGCGAAGCAGTGGCGCAGTAGGTAGTGCAGTCGCCTCACAGCAAGAAGGTCGCTGGGTCGAACCTCAACTCAGTTGGCGTTTCTGTGTGAAGTTTGCATGTTCTCCCTGCCTTTGCGTGGATTTCCTCCGGGTGCTCCGGTTTCCCCCACAGTCCAAACACAAGTGCTATGGAGAATTGGGTAGGCTAAATTGTTCGTAGTGTGTGAATGTGTTTTTCCCAGAGATGGGTTGCGGCTGGAAGGGCATACGCTGCGTAAAAACTTGCTGGATAAGTTGGCGGTTCATTCCGCTGTGGCGACCCCGGATTAATAAAGGGACTGGAAGAGATTTCCACTGCAAATATATCTCTGTTAATGAACAGTTTCAGTGTTTTGTGTTCATTTGCTGTTGTGAATTGCATTATGGGATGTTGGTCTCTGCTCTGTCCACTTCTGATGGTGAAAATTCAACTTTACAGTTTAACAAAGTGACTTTTACTGACATTTTAGTAGTCTGAGATGATATATGTATTAGAAATAATATATAGTGTGTAAAATAAGAGAGAACGTGCTGCAGTTTACTACAAGGTTACTATAGTGCAATATACAACACCAACACAGACAATACAGCACTGCAGACTAGGCTTGGGCAGGAATATATATATATATATATATATATATATATATATATATACCGTAGGATCTAAAAATAGCAACGGTGTCAGTTTCAATACCGGTATACCGTCATAAAAACAATGCACTTATAGGAGACAAGTATTAAGTGAAGTTTATTTATAAACAAACTTTGAGAGGATCAGGTGCTCATGATTGCTCACAGCTGTTCCAACTTTAGCTCATGACTAATTATCCTATCAGACGATCCTCAACTCACTACCAGACTTTTCTCATCTCAATATCTTCGTCTCGAAGAACAATTAAAAAGAAACAATTAATCCCAAATATTTAAGCCAAGCTCTGAGTACACCTTCAGCATCCATATCTGACACTTAGCTACAATAAGCAGGAGGGGGAGTCATCGAGATCTACCTGAGCTCAAACTCCCCTCTCGCCCTGCAACGGGAGGGAGCCCCTGGGCTTGAGGATCTTATTAGCTCAGGGCTCTCTCCCGGGATAGCACGCCAAACTCGCCTTATTATCAATCATCAGCTAAGTGTGAACTCTTGAAATATTAAATATTATTTATTTAATGCCTAAAAATGCGTATGCATGATTGTCATCACGGGACAGTGTGGAGGAGAGAGAGAGAGAGAGAGAGAGAGAGGTGAGGTAAGATGGCGAGTCATCCACCAAGTGACCTGGACTCGAAAAAGAACACAACCCCTGCAGTTTGGCAGTTTTTCGGGTTTTCACCGAACGAGAATGGAGATGTGGCAAATACGAACTGGAGGTCTGCATTCCCGCTGCTATTCCGCGGGACCCGACCAGATTTCCTGCGGTGCGGGAATAAATTTCCAAATAAAGTGCCGGATCGGTCGGTAAATCTGGTGTAATTTGAACGGGAGCGGGCAGTCTAACAATATCGCTCCCTAGCGAGCGAGCACACTCGCTTCCGCATGGATGCTGTTAAAGGTTCAGGACACCCTGGAGAACTTTTTTTTTTTTTTTATATTAACAGATGTGTGTGTGTTGAGCATCAGTTAAGACAATGTTAGCACCTGTCAGCTGTAATTGTGGGGAAAACTGGATAATTTTGAGCTTTTGTCAGCTGATTTCAGCTTCCGGGTTTAAAATGATTTTTGGGGCGGATCAAAATCGGCGACGTAGCGCAGTACTGCAAGTGCAATGATGACGCGTCGGTTTCTCATTATTATTCATAGCGGAGCTTTCTTATCCTATGAGAAGAGCCGGCTGCTTAATTATTCATGAGACCTGCCAGAGTCAAGCCCGAGCTGAGAGACACGGAAACCACGGCACACTATTGAGCCGTTCATGAAGGCTCGTATGTGTTTGTTTTCATGATCCACGGGGTTTGTTGCATGTTTTCCCCAGCGATCTTGTCAGGGCCGGTCATACAGCAAAGCTGTGTGTGTGTGCTGCTAGCATTTTTGTCGGGAGAGCAGCACGAGAATTAGAGAATGGCGGACGCTGTCTTTTATCAGGAGTTCGTTCACATTCAGACACATCGCCGTGCTGCTGTGTTTGCCTAAATCCTCCAGATTACCAGCAGGGCTGATTGTTAAAATAGTCAGGAGACCTGCTGCACTGAGTCTGCTGGATACGGGGATTGAGGGAGAAGTCCTCATTTATAGGGTTTACATGAACACACTTATCTTCATAATGATATAAATTGTGGTTGTGTGAATATGAAATTACGAATAACAAATGTAGCAGGGTACTAAATCACTGTTCATTTCTTTGCATTTTAACTTTGTAAACTATAAACTCATGCGTCTCCTCACGGTTTGTCTCATTTTGTGAGCTAACTGACAACAACAGTTGTTCGCTCACGTTCTCCCCTGCTGGCCACGCCCACTCCTGCCCGATGCTCGCGGAGCTCCGCCCATTAATCATGCATCTTTTGAAAAAATTCTGAAGTAGACTTTAACCGAAAGTGGGGGGTGTCATGGCCCTTTAATGTGTGTGTGTGTGTGTGTGTGTGTGTGTGTGTGTGTGTGTGTGTGTGTGTGAAAGAGAGAGCGTGATGCTGAGTGTTGCTTGTTTGTTGCTGTCTATGGCGAAATAGGGAGGATCAAAATTTGGATACCGCCCAAGCCTACTGCAAACTATTACACACGTGCCGAAGTGTCACTTTTTACAACTGATCAAGGTTAAAGTATGTTGGGGGAGAGATCTAGATCCCATAATGCAATTCAAAGGCAGAAATAAACAGGGGGAAAATAAAAACATGAATCAGAAAATACAGAAAACTGCTCATTTACAGATTATGTTCGCAGTGTAGGAGCATGATAAGAAAACAAACGAGATTAGAAACAAATGTCATTACGTGGATTTAAAGTCCAGGTTCAGGACTGGAATTAACTACTGTTCTCTGTCGTATCTCACAGATTCAGAGTCGAGTACGGTAGAAATCCACATTTCCAGCGAACAGAGAGAGTTTGAGGAGCTGAAGCGAAACGGAGCATCGTGGGAGATTTCTACAGGCTAAAGAGTCAGAAGAGTCATTTGCTGATCAGCGATTCCCTGAACAAATGCTTCTGTCTGAGGCCCGTTTCTGTTCAAGATTTCTCTAAGAACTTCTCCAGACTTTAAGTTTTAATGCTTTAACCTGCACTTTGAGCAATATCTCTGGTTAAACTGTGTTCCTGACATCACTCTAGGCTACCTTTTGAGTGTTTTGTTTTAATCCTCTGTAATTCAGTGTACACTATTACGTGCTTCGGGTCGCCTTCACTAAAGCTCTACAATAAAGCAGATCCATTGAACTTCAATCCTCAAATCTATACTGCATAAACAAACAAGCTGATCTTCATCACACACACTCTGTGAATGTTTGGGTTTTCCCTCATCAGTGTGCAGTATTGCAGCAGTGTTCACTCGGTGGACAACACTCGACTCTCACTGCTATTTCGCCCCAAGTCTAGGGGAAACAACATGGGCATAATAATCTAAGAGAACAAATGTCAACCCAGGCTCATTCTGAAAACGTAGTCCAGCGGACGTTTCTGGAGACCGCGAAATACATCCTGGGAGCTACGTATGGCTGCATTTAATTTTTTTAAGCGAACGCTACAGGGCGGTGTGGCGCCGTTTCCTTTCGCACTTGCCGGATGACCGCTTACCTCCGTGTGGAGGGCTTTCCCGCCGCAGTCAGTTTGTCCGGTCAGCTCATCGTGTGCGTCGGCGGACTTCAAATGCAGAGAGGAGGAGTTGACAAAGGCGATTGGGTTCGAGTCCGGGGAAGAGCGGTTTCAGAAACCAGGTAAGACAAAAACAGAATCCAAAAAATAAAGCGAACGAGTTCATAACAGGGGGAGAACGTGGTGAAATCCGAAAAACAGACAAGGGTTTTTCTTTTTCTAGACGGCTTTTCTAAATTGTTGCTCGGGTTTAGGGAAGTGAGCGGGCGGGCGGGTCAATCGGTAAAACTGGTTGGGTTCAGGGAGGGAGGAGAGTGGGTCAGCCGATTGGCCGGTCGCGCAGTCAATCATTCGGTCGGTCAGACAGCGGCCTCTGGTGGGTTGACATGAGAACAGCGTGGGCGCAAACGGCACTCGCGAGACGCTCGAGATACGAAAAAGCGCACACAGCAGCCTCTCGCGGATTCGCGAAAACAAAAACTGCACAAATACGTACCTCCCGAGATGTATTTCGCGGTCTCCAGAAACGTCCGCTGGACTACATTTTCAGAATGAGCCTGGGTTGACAAATGTGTTGGGGTGGTGGATTTCCTAAACAAAACAAAACAAAACTTAACGCCAAAGATTCCCTTCGGTCGACAACCAAACTCAGACACTCAGTTCAGAGTATATGAATAGATTTATTATAGAAAAATGTAAATATAAACGAGCATCTTTTCAGGGTGACCCAATTAAAAAAAAAAAAGCACAGGAAGCTTACCTTACTCCCTAAACATAAACATAGTCAAAAGTAGTCAAATAAAGAGGCAGGTCACCCCTACACGCTCAAACTCTCAAAATAGGTTAAGGTATGAACATTAGTACAATATTGGTTGTTGGTCGTCAGCTGGAGGGGTGAGGGAAATCCAGGAGCTCCACTCCCAGCAACAGTCGCATCGCAAATGAGCTCCCCGAACCCTGCCGGAAGCTCCCTTATATACAGGCCTCCAAGACCAGCAGCCAATCAGAACACGGGATCATGCCGGTATGGAAGCCTATGAAACAACAGAAAAACAACAAGAAGGCGGGGCAAAGAAAAAGAAACATAGTACAATTCGCAATAATAAGTAAATAAACTTCAGTCGTAACACTGCAGTAAAGGGGGATTTTATTGTGATAAAAGCAGGACGGTGTTCATAACAGTTAAAGCAGCAGATTATTAGTGTGTGTGTGTGTGTGTGTGTGTGTGTCAGTAGATTTTGTGGTGTTAAAACTCTGAATTCTTTATTGAAACAGGTTGGTGGTTCTGCAGTCAGGCCGCATCTTGAAGTCTGAGTCTGCAAGAGCCTACAAGAGTCTCTTACGGTGACGAGAGTCGAGTAGTCTAAAATGAGTCTGATTTGAGACAGAGCCGTCTCCTCTATAATCTTTTTAGAAGAGGGCAGTGACTAGAGGTGGAGTTGGCTAAACAAAGCATGCAAATAGGTGAAAGAACCTGCCCAAAGCATTTGCTTCACTTAAGTTTTGCACACACAGTTTTAAATAAAATGATATAATTAAAAACCAAAGAATATGACTTCAGCTTTATATATATATATATATATATATATATATATATATATATATATATATATATATATATATATATATATATATATATATATATATATATATTAAATTGTTAATATGGAACTAGATTATGTAAATTTGTATTTCAACACTGTCTTTTTGTTTGATATTAATGAACCTTACTGCAAAATATGACCTGCAATTCTTTAAAATCAATTTTAAAACGACAAATCCCAGACCATCAGAACACCTTTGATGATTTATGCACATTATAGACCAATGATATTTCACACTACAGATCTGGAGAGTTCAACAAAACACAACTCATATATTTGCATGTAAGAGATCAGTTTATTCCTCTTTTTCATCCCATCACAGCTGATTCTGACACAGAATCTGATCTCCACACCACGCAAATCACATTTGCTGCCAATCCAGCAGGCACAGTGCGCACAAAATCAAAAATAACGACATAAAAGTATGAAAGATTTCCAGAAAAAAATGATTGGCTTATAAACATATATACACAGTTTATAAAATGTGTATTTTCAGTCTCATTTACATCTTTACAGTCATTAAATGTACATCCAGTGAGGAGATCACACATACCGCCAGCTATATACAGATCAACACAGCATTATTCACCCTCCTGTCAATTTTAATTCTGTTTCAGATGTTAACATTTTTCAAGTGCCGTTTAACAAAGCGAGAACATTTTTCACAGTATTTACCTCAATAATAATTTTATTTTAGTTTGGCTGATGCACAAAAAAAGTGTTAAAGCATAAATAGATGGATATATGTGCTTTTATTGGATATTTTAGGTGTAATATTTATTTATTTAAGTTTTGATTAGTTTTCAGTTTTAAATGTAGCTTTTATTTTAGTAAACAAATCTAGTTTTGTTTTTTATAATAATATTTTGTTTTTTTATTGCGTTTAATTGTTTTAATTATGTCTTATTACTTATTTTATTATTATTGTTGTTGTTGTTGTAATAACTATAATAAATAAAAGGTTTAAAATAAAAAGTTTAATTTTAGCTTAACATTAAATAATTTATCATAATTCATTTTAATTTATAATCATTTATATAAGGTTTTGCATCTTGCTTAAATAAGTTTTCCATTTTAATGTAGCTTGACATGATTTTAGTACACGATCATATCTAGTTTCGCTTTTATAATAAAATTGCATTTTATTGTGTTTATATATTATATTTAATTAATATAATGATAAATACTTACCATATTATATGCTATTACAATTATTATTATTATTTTAAACATTTTATTCATGTTTTTACTACATATTTCAATGAGATTTTAGTTTAACATTTGATAATTTGCCACAGTTTTGGGTTTTGTTTGAATTAGTTTTCAGTTTTAATGTAGCTTAACGTGTTATTTTAGTAAACAATCATATCTAATTTTGTTTTTATAATAATATTAAGTTGTGTAATTGTGTAATAATTGTGCTTATATATTATATTTAATTAATATAATACTAATTACTTACCTTAGTGTGTACTATAACAATTATTATTATTATTTAAAACATTTGTTTTTAGTTCATATTTTCAGTGAGATGTTTAATTTTAGTTTAACAATTAATAATTTATCCAAGTTTTGGGTCTTGCTTAAATTAGTTTTCAGTTTTAATGTAGCTTGACGTGTTATTTTAGTAAACAATCATATCTAGTTTTGTTTTTATAATAATATTAAGCTTTTTATTGTGTTTATATATTATATTTAATTAATATAATACTAATTATTTTCTATATTATGTACTATTACAGTTAGTATTATTATCTAAAACATTTTATTTATGTTTTTACTTTAAGATTTTAGTTTAACCTTTAGTAATTTATTAAAGTTTTGGGTCTTGTTTAAATTAGTTTCCAGCTTTTATTTTTGGACATTTATTTATTTTAGTAAACAATCATTTCTAGTTTTGATTTTTATAATCACATTTGGTTTTTATAATAATACAATGAAAAAGCAAAAACTGTAAAGGTCAATATTATTACTATTTGTGTTTAATTACATACTAGATTTTATATTTGATAACTATATTACTAATTATTTTCAGCATTATGTACTATTAAAATTAGTATTATATGCTAATACTACCAAAATTAATAATAATAATAATAATAATTTTTATTGTTATTATTATTATTATTAAAAAGAAAAATAATAATTGTTATTATCATTACTATCATTAATATTAATAATAACAAGAAGTAGAAAAAGAATAATATCTTAAATACATTTTATTTATGCTAATACTTTATATTTTCAGTAAAAAATAATCTGTTAATAAAAAAAAAAGTATAATTTTGTTCATTTAAATTGGCACTTGGCGAAACTATCCAAAAATAAATTAAGATTTCACAGGAGGGTGAACAAATTAGCCTCCAACTGCATTTAAAATCTGAGAGTTATTCATATTAATAAAATCTCCTCCCCGCAGGCTCTACATTCACCTCCATAACGCTGGAAAACATGTTCCCGCTGCTCCTGGTCTGGAAAATCAGCTTGTAATAAAACTCTGAAGGAGTTCCTGGGCGTCCAAATATTTGTTTTCTTACCGCATGGGTAAACATCGGACGCTCGATTTCCTCCAGTTCGCTGTTCAGCGTTCGGTTTGTGTTTCTTTCAGCACTAAAGGCTTTAGCTGCACAATCCCACGTTCGAGATTCTCCGATCGTTTACTTCCGTAAATCAAGAACACAGACCTGGAATAATATCGTTTATACACTGTTATTGACATCAACTTTGAGAAACAATATTACAGTGAACAATGAAGCTGGGAAAATGCATTAGTTAATTGGGTTTCCTTACTAGGCATTTAATGAATATTATACTAATTATTTTTAGTATTAATAGAGTTTTTATTATTATTTTTATTATTATTATTATCATCATTATCATCTCGGCTATATTTATTTATGCTTTTACTTTGTATTTTGTCCATAAATCAAGAACACAGACCTGTAATATTAATATATAAAAGCTGGAAAAAAGTAATTAATTAATATCTTATTTAATTGTGTTTCCATCAAATGAATTTAATTAATAATTTTTTTCAGAATTATTTACATACTAAGTTAGTATTATTATTATTATGATGATGATTATCTCAACTATTTTGATATCCTTATACTTTATATTTTCAGTGTAAGTATTTTTTACACAAATTTTTATCCAAATTTTGGGTCTTGTTGCAAAATGAGCATTAGAAATGCCAAGTTAGAAAGACAAAAAAAAAAAACTAACACAATATTTACTAAAACTACAATAAAAACTAATAAATAAATATAAAGTAAAAAATTAACACTTAAAATGCATAAATAAAAATATTTGAAAAAATAAAAATAAAATATTACTTAAAGCACAAGAGAGATATTATATTATATAAAGAGGTAGTCAGAATAATAATAATAATAATAATAATAATAATAATAACAATAATAACAATAACAATAATAATCTAAAAACACAGATTAAACGGTTCTTATGCATTTTAAACACATTTTGACTATATGACTGACTATATGATATGAAAAAACTTAAGTTTTAATTAATTAAAACAAAACCAAATATAAATTGCACTGTAATAAAAATATATATTTTCAAATGATTTAGTAAGTGAAGACGCACCGATCCATCAGACGCACTCGCTCCGACTTTATCACCAACACTGTTCCAGCAAACCTCGAATATTCCTCCAGTTCCTCTGTAGCTGTTTACCAATGATCCGCTCTGAGGACATAATTATATTCATATTAATATTCAGAATCATCAGTGTGTGCGCGCATAACTATGTTTTTGCAAATGTTTTATGTATGTAACTGTGTATGGTGAGAGTTAAAGCTGCAGCACTGACCATCGTGTCCCAGATGTGAACACACTTGTCGAAGGATCCGCTGGCCAAGAACTTTCCGTCAGGACTAAAGGCCACGCTGTAGACTGGCTCCTGATGTCGGGTGAGTGTGTGTGTGCAGACGCCACGGTCCACATCCCATAATCGCACCGTCGAGTCGAAGGATGCACTGAGGAACGAGAAGCAAAGCAGAGGAATCACGGACCATGTGCCATTAGCCCCTTTCACACAGTGATACCGGTAAATATCTGGAAAAATTCCAGAACGACTTTACCGGTTCACACAGGCGAGGACGTTACGGAATTTTTCCGAAAAAGAGCATTCACACATCCATTGCAAAATAGCGGTAAATTCTGACATCATTAACCAGAAATGAGCTCTAAACGGCTGCGCTTGTGTTTGTAAACATTTGACTACATCACAAACTCTGTGGATGATCAGTATTGTGAACAACTTCGATGAAAACGTATAGAGAAACACTTTCGCATGCTGAGATGTACATGATATGTGTGTGCTGGCGCTCACGGGCTGTTTCACGGGCACACGCAAAGCTTGAAGGTAAACAAACAACAGCTTATCATAAGCATCTAATCGATAATTATCTACACAGTTGCCGTTAAGATGAACATATAAACGTTATCTGACTAACATCTAGCAGCTAAATGTGTCTGGGAAAATATTCAAAGGCTTTTATTCTCATAAAACGCGCGCACGTGAATTCATCTGACTGTTCTGATTGGCTAAAGCAGATGTCTTACGTCAGCACGTTCTAGACGTGCACGCGCTCTTTCCGGCAATCTTCCTTCTGCGTTCACACAGCGCCGCATTCCAGTATTGAGGTATCACAAATGCACACCTGAGGTGATGATGTCATGAAGAGGACTGGCTGTTACAACCAAAGAGCATAGAATCACCAAGGGGCGACACTCTTGTGTAATTTAGGAAACAGCCACTAGATGGCGCGGCAGATATTTTGGAATGAAAGCTCCAATAGAACAACAGCATATTTTAAGTCTGAAAATAAACTATTAAAAGTGCTGATGATTGTGATTAGTGTTGTATTGTTGTCTTTCAGGTTGTATCTCAGCTTTAATACGCTTTTTAAATAAATAAATAAAAAACAAAGCAGATGCTTGCCATCGCAACAGTAATGGGTTGCAATAGACGGCCGATCACTTTTACTTTAAAATGGCGGAATCCAGGGATGTTGCTGGGCGCTGCTGTTGCAATGAAACGTTCTAATGAGTGTCGCCTCTTGGTCATTCTAAGCTCTTTGTTACAACTCAGGAGTGTATTTACAATTGAAGTCAGATTTATTATCTTTCAAATATTTATCAAATTATTCAGGAATTTTTCACTTTCTGGAGAAAGTCTTATTTGTTTTATTTAGGCTAGAATAAAAGCAGATCTTAACAATTACAAACTTTACAATTGAACACTGATAAAGAGGAATGGTCTCTATCAAATTTTAAATGCTTTATATGGGCAATATAGGATCATTTTGGACTGGGTACATAAATCTGAAGATGCTCTGTGGGTAGACATTAAACAAGAGCTTTGTAACCCAGTTTTCCTGATCAACTTACTTGACCAGAAAACCCAAATTTCTGACAAGCTAAAAGAAAACCCACTCAAAACATGGTCGCAAATCAGAAGATTGCTTAAGTACAATCAGAACCTGCCTATTCCATCCACACTGACCAGTAATACAAAGTTTTATCATATTTATATGGGCTCACAATTTGGTAGCTGGATTAATTTGGGAATATACAGGACATATGATCTCTTTCATGAGGATATTTTTATAACATTTTATTCTTACTGGACGCGGCAGTCTTACCTTGAATAGCTCTGATTCTTTTCGGATTGATTCTTTCTTATGAATACTGAAGTGAAGCACTATATTTCCGAATTTTACTCAATGATAAACCAGTAGCAGACAATCTGATTTCAATGCAGAAGACATGAAGAACTTAAAATGTGACATTGACAGAAATGTGTGGGATGATATTATCTGACTACCCCTAAATATTTCAATCTGCAACAGATTTAAAGAAATGCAATTTAATATTGTACATAGAGCCTACATATCCCCAAATAAATATGGTACAATAAGTAACACTGTTTCAGCTCAATGTCCAAAACGCAATAATAGTATCGGCACATTCTTTCATTGTCTTTAGGAATGTCCTTTGATTGCTGATTTTTGGAATATGGCCAATATATTTTGGTGCATTTGAACAAATCAGACTTATTAAACATGTATACTTAGTAAAATAATATTTTTATCACCAAACATCTTTAAAAATAGAAAGACACATTTAAATTCACACAAAATATTGCAACAACGTCAACTAAATTTGATATATTTTTTGTTTCTCTTAATTGTTCCTCTTTTTTAACTTTTTATTTAATATTTTTTTATAACGTAAATGTGTGCATAAAATATTTTGGACCGTTATTATAAGTTTTTTTTGTTAGATGAGCTCCAGATTTGTCTTTAGTACTGACTAATCTAATGTAGATGCACAAATATAATATTGTTAAGCATCCTGTAGAAAATATTACTCTAAATATTAATCTGTGAGGGGTGCACTCATATATGCTGAGCACTGTATATTAAAGGCATATTTAAAATCCTTAAATTTAATTATTTTAATCAAATTTAATTAGTAATCATAATGGATGTTACCTGGCTAGCAGGATGTTAGCATTGGGGTTGTTGCTGCCGATGCCCGTGGGGCTCCATTTGATGGTGTAGATCTCTTTACTGTGTGCTTGAAGATCGTGAACACATGAATCCTGCTTCATACTCCAGATCTGCCACGGGAAGAAACATGTCAGCAAACTCCAAATCATATTCAATATTTCATGCTCAACAGTCCATAGTGCATTTGCTTTGAAATGATCCAACATTGTGTTAGATTAGAAATGTGGGTAAAAATTAAGAATATTAGCATGTGTGAAAAATGTCTACCTTTAAAGTCATGTCATCTGAACAGGAAGCGAGCAGCATCCCCGACGGGTCCCATTTAATGGCGTTCACTTCATTCTGAAGGCAGACAAACACCGTTTATTCACCTGTCATTCACAGCAGTACCATAAAGCCAGATTAGCAGGTTAACCAGTTAAGTTTGTTTCATTTGACTTTAGGTACCATAAATAGGTCAGATTAATCGGGGGTTCCGGTTATGTTCTGGCTTTGATCAGGATATGATCTGAGTATGTTCTGGCTTTGTTTGGGTTAAGTTCTGGCCATGTTTAGGATGTGTTCTGGGTATGTTCAGGATATGTCCTGGCTATGTTTGAGGTAAGTTTTGGCTATGTCCAAGTTATGCTTAGAATATATTCTGGCTATGTTCAGGTTAAGTTCTGGCTATGTTTAGAATATGCCAAGTTTGTTCTGGCTATGTTTGTGTTAAGTTCTGGCTATATTTAGGTTATGTTCTGGGTATGTTTAGAATATGTTCTGGCTATGTTCAGGATAAGTCCTGACTATGCTTGAGGTACGTTTTGGCTATGTTCAGGTTATGTTCTGGTTATGTTTAGAATGTTCTTGGTATGTTCAAGATATGTCCCAGAATATTTGAGGTAAGTTTTGGCTATGTTCAGGTTATGTTCTGGCTATGTTTACAATGTTCTGGGTATGTTCAGGATATGTCCTGGCTATGTTTGAGGTAAGTTTTGGCTATGTCCAAGTTATGCTTAGAATATATTCTGGCTATGTTCAGGTTAAATTCTGGCTATGTTTAGAATATGCCAAGTTTGTTCTGGCTATGTTTGTGTTAAGTTCTGGCTATATTTAGGTTATGTTCTGAGTATGTTTAGAATATGTTCTGGGTATGTTCAGGATAAGTCCTGACTATGCTTGAGGTAAGTTTTGGCTATGTTCAGGTTATGTTCTGGTTATGTTTAGAATGTTCTGGGTATGTTCAGGATATGTCCCAGAATATTTGAGGTAAGTTTTGGCTATGTTCAGGTTATGTTCTGGCTATGTTTAGAATGTTCTGGGTATGTTCAGGTAGTTTAGAATATGTTCTGGCTATGTTCAGGTTAAGTTCACATTACATTTCATTGCAGGTTCTGGCTATATTTAGAATATGTTTTAAGTTTGTTCTGGCTATATTAAGGTTATGTTCTGGCTCCATTCAGGTTATGTTTTAGCTTTGCACAGGATATGTTTTGGGTATGTTTAGGATATGTCCTGGGTATGTTTGTGGTAAGTGTTGGCTACGTTCAGGTTATGTTCTGGCTATGTTTGAGGTAAGTTTTGCCGGTGATTGGCTGTTTTCTGCTGTTGTCCCCCTTCATCTGCACATGCGTATGAACTCAGAATCAAAGCCAGAGTTAACAAAGAAAACTGATAATTAGCTTCATGAAACTAACAAAGCCTGACAGCACTGGTTTGGATTTCTAAAACGAATCTGGAGTTTGTTTTAGCCAGCATCATTCAATTCAATTCAATTCAGCTTTATTTGTATAGCGCTTTTACAATGTAGATTGTGTCAAAGCAGCTTCACATAAATGGTCATAGTAACTGGAACAGTGTGGTTCAGTAACTGGAACAGTGTGGTTCAGGTTTTAGTGTTTAAGTTTAATCATGGTACAGCAGGGTGTGTTAATCTCACCGTGTGCCCTTGGAAGGTTTTAAGTGGACGTTCACTTCCTAGTCGACACACATGAATGCACATGTCAGTACTGCAGGAGGCAAATGTGCTGTTATTCTGCCAGTCCACGTCCAGCGCTGGAGCTGCAAATAAAACAAATACCTGAAATCACTTATTCTGACATACAGATGTCCTTATATAGCTGAAAACTTCTGTAACAAATTCAATGTTTACAAGTCCTTTCAGTAAACTCACCAGAATGAAATGGGAACTGCTGCTTGGCTTCACCTGTATGCGCGTCCCAAATGATTGTCGTCTGCAAGGAGATTAAGGTGCATTAAATACAATGAGTGAATATAGGAAAAAAACGCAATGTAATATAGTTATGCCACTCTTAAAGGGACAGTTCACCCAAAAGTTCTCCCATCATTTAATGTACATAAATATATATATAGGGTGAACTGTAAATATATATATAAAAAGAAAGAAAATCTGTCAGCATTGCCTTTTATAGTATTTGTTTTTCCTACTACAGAAGTCAATGGCTACCAAATCGTCAACAATCTTCAAAATATCTTCTTTTGTGTTTGATGGAAAAAGAAACTCTTTAAGGCTTGGAGGTAAAAAAAAAAAAAAAAGTATTGTCAGTAAAAGCTACTTTATAATTTACTAAACATGCAAAAAAAATTACATATGCATTTTATATTTGATCAATCGGATGTTTCTGGCAAATACTGGTATAAAATTTAAAAAGAAAGACCATTTCACCGATAAACAACAGAGGAGTTAATAGTTCAGTAAATAAACCTTCCTTAAAGCATGGTTTTATGTTTTTCTAAAACCAATGACATTATTAAGAAAAAAGTAAAATTAAATTACATTAAAAACCTTTTTTGGCCCTTAACGGCAATTTAAAGCATGTTAAACAGCATGCCAAGAAAAACAACACATTTATAAATATATTAATTGTACAAAATCATAATTAGATATATAGAAAAAAAATTATAAATTGCCTAAAACCCCATTGCTGTTAAAAATGTACTATAATCCACAGCTTCACAGAGGTTGTTGATTGTATAAATCGATTATTTCATCCTCCTCAGCACTGATAGTGGAATGGTTGCCAGGCGACACGAATGTTTACAACAACTTAGAACGTTGCTTAGCCAATCAGAACCTACAGAAAACGTTTGCACTCTCTCTATTTTTTTTGTTTTTGCCTGTGCTCCATCTATTTAAAATTCGAGGCAACCTAATTATTTTGCATTTTAATCATGATCCAAACAAAGATGCAAGTAATAATGTAGAAAAAACAGAATGATCTCAACAGATTTGAACCATGACGAATTTTAATTGATTTAACCGGCTCAAGGTTAATCATTACGTTATTATTTAGAGGTTCTGAAATGTGTGTAATTCACCTTATCGACTCCGGCGCTCAGGATACTGTTGCCTTTCTTGTTCCACTTCAGTGCAAATATGGGTCCTTTGTGTTGACCCAGTGTGCTGCTGAGATTACCTGTTAAAAACATCAATGCAGGCTAGTTTACAGACACTATAGAGGACATTCACAAAGAAAGTGTACATTCCTAATTGCACTACTTTTCCATTGTCTTTCTATGTAAACATGTTTGACAAATGTAAGAAAATCTTACAGTCTTTCTAAAACTATGAAAGCTATTTCTAATTAAACTAAAATAAATAATCTACTAATATTGTCAAATTTAAATAAATTCCTGAAAGTGCTGAAGTTTTAATAAATATATAAATAAAAACATGTATAAAAAATAAAAAAGTTATATAAACATATAACATAAATGTTGTATGTAATATATATATATATATATATATATATATAAACAATTCAAATGGTTTCCAGATTAAATTTAACACAAAAGTGTCTAAAGAGAACAAATAAAACCTAATAAAAATATATATATATTAAAAAATTAAGAATTTTACAGGAACCTAAAATGTTGTTTTGCTTAACGATTAAACTATGGTTTAACACTTTTAATCCTTTAAAAATGATTTAGGAATTAAAATAGAATACAGAAAACTTATAAAGCACACTCCAGAAAAGTTATATACATTTTATAGGGCCCTAAAATAATTATTAATGTAAAAACTTTTAACAAAGCATTCATTAATTGTCTTTTTCATAATTTTTTATTGATGAGATAACATTATTATTTAATTGTAATTTAATGATAAAATAGAATACAAAAAAACTATTAAGCAAGCATACTACAGAAAATAAAACACACAAAACAATAAAGATTGTATAGGGCCGTAAAAAAGTTTTCTCTTTTATTAATTGTTTAATAAATATTGTGCACTACCATTACACTTGCATTTTCTGCATTACATTGCAAGCTTTTGTTTACAGTAAAAGCTAGGGCTGTGCAATTAATCGAAAATCCCGTTTCGATTTTGCCTTTTAACAATAATGAAAAACCTTAAATCGAGATAAACGATTATTGCATCATATACCGCCTCCTTTCGAGTTGTCCACATTTGTTGCTCTTCAAAGCTCAGTTCCACGTAAAAATGATTAAAAGCATGTACTGTAATGTAACGTTTGCAGCATTGGATGCACATCATTCATTGATGTATGTTTGAATCATTCATATTTTTAAAAGCGTGAAAGAGCAGCTTAGCCTCAGACAAGCTCGGAGACGAGTAGAGCACACACATCTAACACCATTTTAATGAGAGCGCTTTAATGGTCAAACACATGCACATTTGTGTCAGAGCACGGTTTAGTGATTATTCATTTTAACCCTCATTTGTATAATAAACAAACAAGTTGGAAATCAAAAGACATGTGAAAGAAACCATATCAGAGCCGCACTACTCTTAAAGAGACAGTGCGCAATATTCCAGCTGCCGCCTTTTTATTATTAATCAAACAACAAAAGGAGAAAATCCCTCACTGCTCTTGGACTTTTGTAGCTGAAGTGTTCTTCTTACAGTGAAGATGCTTAAAGCACAGTTTAAACATAACAGATTTATTAACTCATCTCTAGTAACTGATTTCTTTTATCTTTGCTATGATGACAGCACATTATATTTTAGATATTTTTCTAGATACTGGTATTCAGCAGCTTAAAGTGACATTCAAAGGCTTCACTAGTGTAATCAGGCAAGTCATTTTATAACAGTAGTTTCTTCTGCAGACAATCAAACATTTATATTGTGTAAAGGGGTTAATAATATTGAGCTATTAAAATAGGTTTCAAAATATTCAAACCTGCTTTTATTCAAGCCAAAATAAAACAAAACAGCCTTTCTCCAGAAGAACAATTAATATAGGAAATACTGTGAAAAAAAAAATCACTCTGTTAAACATCATTTGGGAATATATATATATATATATATATATATATATATATATATATATATATATATATATATATATATATATATATATATATATAAAATAAAATAATAATAATAAAAATTCACAGAAGGGCGATTTTTAATTGATAATCGTTTTGAAAAATTGTGATTACAATTATGACCAAAATAACTGTGATTATGATTTTTCACATAATGGAGCAGCCCTAGTAAAAGCTGTAGTTTAATTTGATATTAACAGGTAACAGCTTTATTAATATTAAATTATTTATTTTATGTGTCCTTAACATTGTGGAGTTGTCTTTTTTTTTTTTTGTATCACTGCTGAGCACTGTATCTCACATTTTGGACGCAAAAACGTGTTTTGTGTGAACGACCCCTGACTCTTGTGACTAGCTTTCAGTTTTAGAAAAATAAAAGAAATAACTTACCATCTTTTGTCCAGATTCTTGCAAATCCATCATAAGATCCAGTAGCTAAAAGAGTGCCTTCACTCTACAGACAAAAGCGAAAAAACATTTGAGAAACAAATTCAACTGAAAGAATCCTAAACAATCAAAATGGTTTTGATTAATAATGAATAAATTATTCATTTATTTAATATAATTTGTTTACATTTTCTTTTTACATTTAAAAAGGTAATTTTTAAAAAAATAATTACTTAATTTTTTTTACATTATATCTAATTTAATGCATTATTCAAATGTATTTATTTTAAATAAATATTACTGAAAAACAATGCTAAAGCCAGCAATTCGCCCTTTAGAATGTGTTCTGTGTCCAAATGTCTTTGTTTTGATCTCTGTAGCTCCGCCCACTGCCAGTTTAACCAATTATATTTCAGCACTACAGGTTGCCTTGGTGAAAAACAGTATTTATTTTCTATCATGAACATATGAGGCCGCAGCTGAAAATATGACAGAAGGACAGAGTATAGTTTCATCTTATTTTAAAACATCAATAGTTCAGCTTCACACTCACGTTCCAGTCTAAAGATGTGACATCTTTGTTGCTGGGCACATCCTGTCCTCCCTCTCGGATGCAGTGCCGGAGCACCAGCTGAGTGGAGCTGTTTTCAATCAGGTTCCATATGCGCGCCGTGGAGTCGCCAGAGCTGCATGCAAACATTTACATTAAGTCATTTAGCAGATGCTTTTGTACAAAGCCACTTACAACCGAGTCACAAACATCACAAATAAACACAGCAAACTTCAAAGTTTTAAAATATTTCCTAGTTTCTATTGGAAACACCCAAACACACTCATTCACAAACATACACTACAGACAATTTAGCTAACCCAATTCGCCTATATCACGTCTTTGGACTTGTGGGGGAAACCGGAGCATCTGGAGGAAACCCACGCCAACATGGGGAGAACATGCAAACTCCACACAAACACCAACTGGCCAACCAAAGACTCAAAGCAGTGACCTTCTTGATGTAAGGCGATCGTGCTACCCACTGCGCCACCGTGGCACCCTTTTATACATTTTTAATGTTATTTTATACATTATATATATATATATATATATTTATTTATTTATTTATTTATTTATTTATACATATTAATTTTACTCTTAAAGTTTTGTATTTTTTAGTTTTGGTTTTATTCTCTTTAATTGCTCAATTAAAATTCATTTTAATTTAGTTTTATTTAGTTTTTAATTGCTATTAATTTGTTCATATATACATTTTATATTGCTGATTAAAGATATATATTTTAGATTTATATGAATATGAATTTGCCAATATTAATTTTACTTAAAACTTTTAAGTTTTAGTATTTTTGTAAAAATAATTTTCTTTTATTTAAAATAGTTTCTTTAAATGCTTCTTTGAAATTCTTTTTTATTTTAGTTTTATCAAAAAATGTTACACATGGATTTTGGTAATGGCATTTTTCAATGTTACTTTATATTTATATAAATTGTACTTAATTTTTTTTTTGCTTTTTGTTGTGGATTTAAATTAAAAATATATATATTTTAAAGAAGCTTTTAAACAATTTTTATTTAAGTTTTAGTACATTTGTGACTATTTATTTAATTAAATGTACTTATTCTTACATTTTTGAAACCTGCATGAAAATGTTTAACTCAAAAACCGTTCACAACAGAGAGAAACATTTAAATCAATAGTATTCAATGAACAGCCCTTTGCCCCTGGTCTCATGTTGAGGTCAGAGATCAGAGGTCAGCGTGTGCACAGACTCACCCTGAGGCCAGCAGGTCACAGACAGGGTTCCAGGCGCAGATGAACACCTCAGACTCATGACCCCGCAGAACGGTGGCTTTACTGGGGGGAATCTGAGCCTCTCCCTCCACCTCCATCTCCATATCATCATCATCTGACACACAGAAGCAGAGCGTCACTTTAGCTGATCCACCCATAATGCATTGCAAGGCTGAGTAAAGAAAACTTCTATTCCTTTCCATTCTATTCTATTCCATTCTGTTAACCTTACTGTATTCTGTTCTTTTACATGCCGTTCCATTTTTTTATGTGTTTGTGTCAGATGTGTGCCGTACTGTGTGTGTGTGTGCCGTTCTGGTCTCCGTTGACTGGTGTTTCTCCATTACTGTTAGTGAGTGATGGAGCGACGCTGCTATTGCTGGAGCTGGAGCCCTGATGCTGATGCTGGGAGAGTTTATCCCTGAAGGCCTGCTGTCTGCTGTGAACCACATCCGGCATCACTGCATCAATGAGAGACAGAGACTCGATCGGCCGGCCGTCGAACACTGTGCCATCCTGAAACACACACAACAAAATGGTCAAACACTGAAAAAAAACACAACAATACAGTCAAACACTGCTCCATCCTAAAAGACACAAAACAATAGAAAAAAAGCATCTAAAACAGGGGTGGCCATCCCTGTTCCTGGAGATCAGCCTTCCTGCAGATTTCAGTTGTAACCCATATCAATGGTTCAGGTCTTTGATATGGGAAGGAGCAGAACTATGCAGAAAGGTAGATCTCCAGAAGCAGGGTTGAGCACCACTGATCTATAATCACAACGCAAATGCCTCATGTAGAGCTAAATATCACATAGAAAGCATTTGGATATCATCAATGTTCGACTATGAATTGAGTAAATATTCTACTGGTCTGTGATCATTTTTAACAATGTGTAACTCACAAAAGATAATAAAGGTTTACAATAATACAGATTTACAATTTAAACTAATTTAATTTGAATATCTTGCAGCTCCTGGACTACTAAATGTTTGGACACATTTTGGAGTTTTTTTATAGACTTATATATCCCATAAAAATTTTAAAAATTGAAAAGATTTCACCCAATTAATCCTTAAGCTTAAATGTGTGTGTGTGTGTATATATATATATATGCTTCTTTTCAATGGGTTAAAGTTAAAAATAAAAAATAAATCCACTATTTCTATTACTTTTTACTGCTATTCCAGAACCATGTGCACCCATCTGACCGGTAAAATCTGCTTCTTTTTAATCTCTCATTCAAGTTCAGGTTGCTTTATTGGCATGACATTTTGCACAGTATTGCCAAAGCATTTTAGATGTATAAAATATGTAATATATTGACATCAAATTAATAACAATATACAGCAAATGAGAAATTACAGAAAAAAAACAGACAAGATGATTAACTATGAAGAGTTGATTAACCATTTCTAATGCTGTACAAATATTTTGCAGCCAATTTAATTTCATACTCCCTCATGATTTCATCCTCTATGAGTATTTAGAAAAGCTTTTCTCAGTCGTTTACATCAAATATTTTATTACTGAATGTTTCTCTCGCTCTCCTGACTGTGTGCATACAATTTACAACAGCTTTACAAAGCGAGAAAGCAAAAGCAAAAGATCAATCCCACACATATTAGTCGATTTAGAATTACTAGATTTCACGCAGCCGGACCCAAAGAGGCACATCTCTGTGGGTCTGCAGAGAACTGTGTTGACAGTTTTGCTCAGTACAAAACAGGTAAATGAGAGAATATTTTCCACCGATCGCGAATGCTTGTTTATAGGCCTATTGGGAGGATACACAAAAACAAGAAACGTAAAAGAATGATAATATTAGAAAAAATGTTGCTTTAAATGTACTTGGGGGGCCCACCAAAGTAAAGTCTATGTGTGGAAAGCACAGATATATATATATAACTGTCAACACAGTCTCACGTGCTCTGCAGACCCACAGAGATGTGCCTTTTTGGGTCCAGCTGCAAAAATGTAGTAATTCTAAATCTACTAATATGTGTGGGATTGATCTTTTGCTTTCTCGCTTTCTAAAGCTGAGAGCGAGAGAAACATTCAATAATAAAATATTTAATGTAAACGACTGAGAAAAGCTTTAAAAAAAAAAACATTTTATTTTTATTTTTACTATTTTAGGTCCGTTAGGATTACCTAAATGATTTACATTTGCTAAATGCCAGAATAAGAGAGAATTTTTTATTAATTTCTAGACAGCCAAGAGTTTACACACATTTCCTTGGTATTTTTTAGCTTTGCTTTTAAACTGTGTAACTTTGGTCAAATGTTTTGGGTCTCCTTCCACAAGCTTCTCACAATAGTTTGCAGGAATTTTGGCCCATTCCCCCTGACAGAATTGCTGTAACTGAGTCAGATTTGTAGGCTGTCCTGCTCACAAACCTGAGATCAGGGCTTTGTGATGGCCACTCCAAAACATTTACTCTGTTGTCCTTAAAGCACATGTGAACTAATTTGGCAGTATGCTTAGACTCATGGTCTGTTTGGAAGAGCCATTTGTGGCCAAGTTGTAATGTCCTGGCTGATGTGTTGAGATGTTGCTTCAGTATTTCTCCATCATGTTCTTTCTTCATGATGCCATCTATGCTGTGAAGTGGACCAGTCCCTCCTGCAGCAAAACAGCCCCACAACATGATGCTGCCGCCCCCATACTGCACAGTTGGGATGGTGTTCTAGGCTTGTAAGCTTTCCCCTTTGTCCTCCAAATGTAACACTGCTCATTATGGCCAAACAGTTCAATCTTAACTCCATCAGAGCACAGGACATGTCTCCAAATCTTTTTCCCAGTGTAATTCAGCTAATTGTTATCTGGCTTTGTTGTTGATTCTGGCTTGTTGATTTTCCCATGTTGTCACACAGGGAAGCAGTGTGTTTGAGCTTTTCCTTCAATACTATTCTACAGTTGTGCCTCACATTAACTCAAATGTTGTCAATTAGCCAATCAGAAACTTCCTAAACCTTGACATCATCATCTGAGCTTTTCCAGAGGCAGAATAATCTTATTGTGTGTAAACTTGACTTTCAAGAAGAGTTATAACAATTTCTCCAAAATATCTCTCTCATTATTCTGCTATTAAACAGAAAAACACATTTCATCATCCTAGCTTACCTACAAGAGGGAAATTTAGTCACATTAACATCTGACTTTTCTTTAAAGGGCCATGAAACCCCCTCGTTTCAGCAGGGTGTTTTCACACCTCTTCTTTGGAAAAAGTCAGAAAAGTGGGCGTGTCCAGCTCTGTTTAGGGGGGAGTGTCGGAGGAACTAAAGTGGGAGGGTGTGGGAGTGTCGATTTGGGCACGCGCGAGTTTCAGAGTCAAAATACACACACACACACACATACATACAGGAGAATGTGATGGTGTTTAACCTACATGGACATCTGTAGTCGAATTATTAGCCAAATTATTAAATGGTGGACTTTAACTGCAGTTTGGCTCTTTCATTCAGGGAATTCATTCATGCCCCTCGCGACACACGAGATATTTGATTCGAGGAGCTGCTCTAAGCGTGTATTTTTCATGCAATGTTTTATACCGCACGGCGAATGAGAGAAAAATACCCTCTGCATTTCCCAGAAACTTAGATGCACACGACAGGTAGTGTCAGAAAGCCGCGCGTGTTATTCCGGTCACTAAATGCGGTAAAAACCCTACACGAGGTTAAAGTTTGGTTGTGGTGCTAACGTGTTTACACTCGGTGCAATAGTTTGTTAGATACGAACAAACTGAATAAACAAAGAGCACTGGTCGCTCACTTACCAAATCTGTAGAGACAGGACAATCACCAGCAACTAGAGCCACGTCTTTATAAAGAGAATACTACAAACGATTCCAGATCCCAGCGTTTGCAGATGAGAACAGCTCTCAGGTAAACAATAATCCTCCTTAGACACGTAAGTTATTGTTGTCGCGCGTCGCGTACACTGTAATCCACACGTGAGTCTGAGCTCTCACAGAGAGAAAATGAAAACGAAACTTAACTGCAGCAAACTATAAAAGCAACACTTCATGCTTGTTTTGCCAACACAACGTGGCGTCTCTGTCCTGAAAACACGGTGATAGTAATGAATATTAATGAAGTTGCACAATAGAGCGCGCTGATTGGTTTGACCCTAGCCTTACTCATGCATTAATGCAGCACACTGTAAGACGTAATAAGACACACTCTGGCACAGACGCCCAGTCTGCACGCTGGAATACACACTATTATGTCATGACCGTGACGCAGCTTCAAAAATTCGTTTCAAACAGGAAGTACGAATTTGCTTAAAATAACGCAAAAACAACCAATTTACACTTTTTAGTGAAATATAGGTGTCCTAATAGTGTTTTTAGCAGTGTGGGACACATATACCACTGTCAACAGCTCAAAACATGTGTTTTGGTGTTTCGTGACCCTTTAAATGGTTATGTGCCATTCTATACAGTAAACGTCTGCTGTCAACTGTATATCCACACACACACACACACGATGACAAAAATTATAATAAAAATAATCAATTCTAAGCTTCATACTTTTACTACAGAAATAAGGATGACTTAATGTAAGTTAATGCATTAGTTAACATGATTAACAATAAATAACATCTCTTAGGCATCACTTAACCCATCTCTTTACATTAACAGTTTAATTAGTTCATGTTTACTCGTACACTAATGTATTTGTTAGAAGATTAGATAACAGGATCTAACAATAAACAACACATTTGTTCCAACTTCAGCAACATTAAATTTTTGTTAAAGCACACTTACAAATACAGTAATGTGTTAGTTAATGCATTAGCAAACATGAATGAACAATGACTGGGGCTAATGAAAGATTTGAGTGGTTAATTAATTCCTGACCTCATTAATGCTGATCTCAGCCTCCACATACTGAAGGCCTTTCTGCAGTACAGAGACGAGTGCAGCAGGGGGCACCAGAGTCCCGTTTATATTAGACTGACTGATGTGACTCTCAATGCCGAATGTGAACGCAGAGTGAGAGAAACCTGCAAAAACACACAAACACACATATAGGGATGTTCTATAGGTTTCCGTGTGTTTTATACTGTGCATTTAGAAGCTTTTTAGAAAATGAGCACATGGCCTGTATCCATATCCATGATGACATTACACAAATTGGTGTTATTATGACATTGAAGCATGCACACACACATTCGTGCACATGTGCACACACACACACACATACATACATACAACCACACAGATACGAAGTTTAAAAAAAACCACACACATGCACAAAATGCAAACAATCACCCCACACACAGATACACACGCACACAAACAGCAGACACACATGCAAGCACACAATGCAAGCAAACAGCACACGCAGACACACAAACACAGACACATGCATGCGCACGCACACACACACACACACACACACACACTGCAAACAAAAACCACACACACATACACACAATGCAAACAATCACCCCACACACAACACATGCACACAAACAGCAGACACGCACAAAATACACACACATGCAAGAACACAATGCAAGCAAACAGCACAGGTAGACACACAAACAAACAAACACAGACACGCATGCATGCACACACACACACACAATGTAAACAAACACCACACACGCATACACACAATACAAACAAACAGCACACACAGACATGCACACATACACACATGCACACCAACAGCACACACACACAAACATGTGCGCAAACAGACACAACATACACAATCGTAAATGCATGTACACACACACACACACACACAAACAACACAGATACACACACATACATGCATGCATGCATGCACACACACACAATGCAAACAAACAACACACAGACTCACAAACACAGAAACACGCACACTCAAATAGAGGTCTGCATTCCCGCGGCTGTCCCGCGGGCACCGCAGGACCCGACCAGATTTCTACAGCGCGGGTATTAATTTCCGAATAAATCACAGGAGCGGTTGGTAACGGGTTTAATTTGGGACGGGAGCGGGCTGTCTAGCAATATCACTCCCGACTCCTGAGTGAGCACGCGTATGTATGTGTGTAAATGAAATAGCGCGATGCTGTGTTTAGCTTGTTTGTTGCAGTGTGTGTGTGTGTGTGTGTGTGTGTGTGTGTGTGTGTGTGTGTGTGTGTGTGTATGCGCGCGCGCGAATGAGAGGGGGGGGGGTGGGTGGGTGTGTGTGTGTGCGTGTGTGTGTGTGTGTGTGCGCGCGCGCGCGCGCTCTTTGCCTCATTGCCTGTGTTTGTGCTTGGTGCTTATGAGTGTGTGTTAGAGGGCGCGCGCGCGCGAATGAGAGAGAAAGCTTTGTCTGTGTGTGTGTTTATACAGACAGCTTGTTATAGGCTGTCTGGACTGTATAACTGGGTGATTTTTCGGTTTTGTTCTCCCCCCGCTCTTTAGCGGGATTGGGCGCGGCGGATAGAAAACGGGGCGGGTCGGGCAGCGGGACATCAAGTGCTTAATATAAGCGGGAGCGGTCGGGTTCCGGCTAAAACCTGGCGGGTGCGGGCGGGAGCGGGATTCAAAATTTAGTCCCGCACAGATCTCTACACTCAAACAAAAACAGACACACACAATACAGACAAACACACATGCACACAAACAGCATTGACACACGTGCAAACAAGCACACACACACACACACACACACGAGCATGTAGATACGCATACAACAACATTCAGATACACACAAATGCATTCAGATATACTCACCCACAAACACGCACAGAAACACAAACACACACATGCAGAGAAACACACTTGAGAGTGTTTACCTGACTCCTGCAGATACCTGTAGACCAGAAAGTTGACTTCATCACTGGTAATGCTCATCTTAGCTCACCTCGGAGGACGAGCGGCGCTGGAGCTCACGATCGCCCCCTGCAGGACACAAACACTACAGTTTCATTCATTTATTATTACCAAGTGAGCAATCCAAAGTAATGTAATGTGTATTTATATAGCGCATTTATTGTGTATGGCCATTCACAATCATGAGGGGGGTCTCTCCACACCACCACCAGTGTGAAGCATCCACTTGGATGATGCGACGGCAGCCACAGGACAACGGCGCCAGTGCGCTCACCACACACCAGCTATTGGAGGAGTGAAGAGACAGTGATAGAGCCAATTTGGTGGATGGGGATTATTGGGAGGCCATGATGGGTAAGGGCTGAGGGATGGAGTTCCTCCAAGAGCATAGCAGTCATAATGAAGTAATAACACGGGACAAACATAACAAAACCCAACTCACAAACAGGGAGTTTAGACTCATGAGGTCACATGTTAATGTTCATCTTATTTTCAGGTCATCCAAGGATAAATAAATGCTAACAAGTCAGTCTCTCAGTTTTACAGTTTTGTCTAAACAAAGCCTGATTATCAGGTATTAGCGAATACTTGGTAAATGCCAACTGAATTAAGATCATTTAAACCTCTACTGGTAAATTAGATATGTTAGAGATTATCACACTGCAGTATAAATCACCACTGTTTCTCTGTGTCTGACTGAGAAGTAATACGTCAAGGTCATTATTTGTAGTACTTTTTGCTATATTTATTTAAAAAATGAATCATATGATGTACAGAATAGAACGCCTCAATAAATCTGATCTGCCTGTTTACATGACAGTCGCCTTGTCACATATCAGATCTATTTCCACATATGAAGGATATCTCTGAATATTTGAATGCATGCATTTTTTTTTGTGTTCACACGGTCATAGAACAGATCTGATCTGTGTCACATGAGCATAAAATCGGAATACATTTAACTGGCAGTAGGGCTAGGCGATTTGCCAAAAAAAAAAAAAAAATTTAGGTTTTTTATAAAGTTTGACCGATTCACGATTTCGATTTTTTTTTTTTTTAAATTGTGTTACTAGTCTTCTCAAAACATTACAACAACATGACTGAAGTAACATTCTCTTTAAAAGTAACTTGAAAAACCATCTGGTTAAGGAACATAGTATTTTTAATGGCCATGTCATAGAAAAATCGGTCAAGGTGTAAATAAATGTAAAACAAATTCACGAGTTAAATAGTGTTACTGAAGATTTGAATAAGAAATATTTGTGTAAATATTGCAGTTGCAGGAATACAGAGGTATTTTTTGCAAGTTTTGCTGAGTCTAGGAAAGATTGGCTGTCAGCTCGGCTTTGACTTTGTCTTCTGATTGAATGTCAGGTTGTAATGCTGCTGCCTTTTTCTTAAAAAGACACAGTGGAAGAAAAGGACTGAACATGGAAACTGTAAAGCCTAATTTAACCCAATGCGTGAAGTTGTGGACGTATAGCAGGAGCAAATACAAGCACCAGATGTGTGTCTAATATAAATTAATATATTTAATCTATTTTTCTTTTTTCCCCTTTTAAATATCGATCATTTGATGCGCTTTGCTCCACTCTCTGTATTATGCTGCCTGATCTGTCTGGTTTTTAACTAGGTCCGCTAAATGACGTCATGGGGGCGACTACTTTCATTTTCACTGCTGCAGGCCCTCACCTCTACTCGTGTTCAAACCAAAAGATCGGCGCGGTTTTTCACATGGCAGGCTTTTAAGTCCTTCATACATGTTGAGATCGAGTTTATCGACTTGATGAGGGAATATGTCTTGACAATCCACACAGACGTGACTCAGACTAATGAAAATCCTACATGACTTCACGCTTTAACAGGCGCGCACATGACAGTTTAAACTATCACACAGCAGACGCGCACATTCGCATGATATTTAACATGAAACTAATCAGATGGCGCTCTGTGGCGTGGCTGAAATATGACCTGCATCCTGAATCGTGGTGCTGTGTGGTGCGTCGCCGAGAGGCGCTTCTGGTGTGCTTCCTGCTTCATACAGAGTGAACCAAAGCGCACTCGTGCCATTATAATGTATTAAATATATATTTTTAAAAATCGTGATTTCTCGATTTGATTTAAAAATTAAATCGTCTGAAAAACGTAAATTCGAATTAATCGAAAAAAATCGCCCAGCCCTAACTGATAGTGTAAACCCTGACCCTTTTCAGTCTGTCGCTCCTGTCGCTATTCATCTAAAACTCCACATCTATAATCCTCCATCCAATCCATCTATAAGACTCTATGCTGACATTATCTTCAGCAGCTCAAACACTCTAATGGACAGACGGCTGCTTCTCACTCAGGGCTGCTATTTATGCTAATGAGGGAGAAATGGGCACTAGTGGGCGGGGCTTTCACCCTAAGATGACACGTCCTAAGGGAGAATGTCAATCAAAGTGTTTCATTCATCAAGTCTGATTATAACAAACACAATTATTTCATGTTGACCATTAGAGGCTGGAGATATTCATATTAAACCCTGCATAAAAGTAATTTTTTCATAATATGTCCCTTTTATATCAGTGTTGTTTGATTCACTTCATTTTATTAGTCGACACAAACCGCCCGTAGGACATGAAAAGCTAATCTGTATGAACTGATCATGGGAACCTGCTGAACTTCTGCTAATCCACGTCAGAGGAGAGTCACTAATTACACTGATGTCCGCAGAAAGACTCAACACAGAGGACAGTGTCAGGCTTTGCAGGCCCTCTGTAGTGTGCAATGAAGAGAAGTGCACTAGATATAGTCAGAGGCCATGAAAGAGGAGAAACTAAAACACAAGAGCATCATCAGCACCATTAAGAATTTTAGGAAGCATTTTCCCAGAGCACGGTCTACTACGGTTGGGCGATGTTGACCAATTTGGCATTGTACGATGTCTAAAGTGAAACATCACAATGGACAATGCCATCGTCGTCGTAGGCGGGGGTGGTTATTAAATTTCAATTAAATCAAAACGAATTAATTAATTGTAGCCAACTGTTTTCACTACCTGACCCGCATGGTCTTTGCTTTACCCATAACCAAACCATAAAAAAATAAAGTTACAAACAAATGACCACCTGGCACCTGTCAATCACTTTTTTTCCGAAGGACTCTTGCATGAATGGGCAGTGATCGGTGTCGTTATAATGGCTTTTCCCACAGCTGGTGGAGGAGACGAGAGTTCGGTTGGCCTTGTGCACCGTCTACTGTTACAACTAGCCAAGAGCACTATTTAAAACTAACCTAGAGCGTCGTCTACTGTTTAAACTAGCCTAGAGTGTCATCTACATTTAAAACTAGCCTAGAGCGTCATCTGCTGTTTAAACTAGCCTAGAGCGCCATTTAAAACTTAACTAGAGCACCGTCTACTGTTACAACTAGTCTAGAGCACTATTTAAAACTAACCTGAATCGCCGTCTACTGTTTAAACTAGCCTAAAGAGTCATCTACTTTTAAAACTAGCCTAAAGTGTCATCTACATTTAAAACTAGCCTAGAGCGTCATCTACTGTTTAAACTAGCCTAAATTGTCATCTACATTTAAAACTAGCCAAAAGTGTCATCTACATTTAAACCTAGCCTAGAGCGTCGTCTACCGTTTAAACTAGCCTAGAGCGTCAACTACTGTTTAAACTAGCCTAAATTGTCATTTACATTTAAAACTAGCCTAGAGCGTCATCTGCTGTTAAAACTAGTCTAGAGTGTCGTCTGCTGTTAAAACTAGTCTAGAGCGCAGTCTACTGTTACAACTAGCCTAGAGCACTGTCTGCTGTTAAAATTAGTCTAGAGCGTTGTCTACTGTTAAAAACTAGTCTAGAGTATGGTCTACTGTTAAAACTAGCCTAAAGCGTCGTCTGCTGTTAAAACTAGTCTAGAGTGCCATAAACTGTTTAAACTAGCCTAGAACATCATCTACTTTTAAAACTAGCCTAGAGCGTCGTCTGTTACATCGCCTAGAGTAGTATTTAAAACTAACCTACAGCGTTGTTTACTGTTAAAACTAGCTTAGAGCATCATCGACTGTTAAAACTAGCCTAGAGTACTATTTAAAACTAACCTAGAGCATCGTCTACTGTTTAAACTAGCCTAGAGCACCATCTACTGTTAAAACAAGCATAGAGTGCAGTCTAATGTTAAAACTAGCCTAGAGCGTCATCTACTTTTACAACAAGCCTGGAGCGTCGTCTACTGTTAAAACTAGCCTAGAGCATTGTCTACTGTTAAAACTAGCCTAGAGCACCATTTAAAACTAGCCTAAAGTGTCATCTACTATGAAAATCTAGCCTACAGGGTCCTTAAAAACAGCCACAAAACCAAAAGATTACCCAAAGAACACAGAAGTAATGAAACTGTTAATGTCAGCATGTCCTTAAAAAAGACATTAACAACAAAAACAACCCTGTTTAATGAACATAATCTCAGTTAATAGATAATGGAAAAATAAAAACTGTCAGCAAAGAAAAGGCAGTGTGGTGAATGTGGAAAACTGAATGAAGCAGCAGAGACACAGAGCTCATTTTCTCCTGGCTGGTCACGGCTGACAGATGTGCGGTAAAACCTGCAAACAGCAGCCATTTTCTCCTGAGTGGCACAGCAGATGAACCACACGCAACACATCCATGGTACACTCATCACTCATGCTGCACAGCACTCACAGCTGGACAAACCACTGATCATTATTAGCAAAAATAAATAAAGAAATAAAGAAATTAAATGAAATGAAATAAGGACTAAACTGAAGAAAAAGAATAAATTAAAAATTGTAAAAAACTAAATACCAAAACTAAATAGAAAATCAAAGAAATTTAAATAAAATAAAACGCAAACCATAACTAAATAGAAAATTAAATTGAAATAAACCAAAACTAAATAGAAAAAAATACATTAAACAAATAAGCCTAAAAACTAAATATAAAATAAAATAAAAATAAATTAAGCCAAAAAACAAACAGACAAAACTACAGAGAAAATTTAAATAATAAAAAAACATAACTAAATAGACAATATGATTTAAATTAAACAACAAATAAACCAACT